CTACATGGTGGCTCACAACCATCTATAGTGGATTCTAATGTCCTCTTCTGGCCTGCAGGTGTACATGTGGAACATTCATACATAGAATATAAATTAATAAAATTTAAATAAAAAGAACTTGAGGATAACCTGGGCTACATGAGAAAGTGTAAAAAAAGGCAGATGTATGAAAATTCATGGAGTGTTCTAGAAAGTCATTATTCCTACTGAGCAGTAATTCTTCAATAACTATTTTCTACCTAGAATGTGTATTCATAGGTGATTTTCCATCGAAATTTTTTGAGAGATATATTTTTAATTAATTTATTTATTATATATATATGATAGTCTGCCTACATGGATCCCTGTGGGCCAGAAGAGGGCGCCAGATCTCATTACAGATGGTTTTGAGCCACCATGTGGTTGCTGGGAATCGAACTCAGGACATCTGGAAGAGCAGCCACTGCTCTTATCCTCTGAGCCATCTTGCCAGCCCCCTGAGAGATATATTTATCTTCCCCAAATATTACATTTTCTGAGACAAAGCTTCATGATGTAACTTAGGTTGGCCTCAAGCTCACTGTGTAGCTCAGACTGACCTAAATTTCAGTCTTCCCTCTTCAGCCTCCTGATGCTGAAATTACAGCAATGTGCCGTGTCTCCCATCTAATATTGCAAACTGTTGCTTCATTTCTTTAAATTCTTTTAGATTTATTTATTTTACGTGTATGAAATTCTTGCCTGTGTGTGCACGCACCACATGCATTCCTGGTGCCTGCCAAAGACAGAAAATGTGGTGATCCAGTATGAGGAAGACATCTCTTACATTCTCAGAGACTGGGACTTTTGCTGAACCTCACAGCTGAGCTAATAATATACCCTGAAGTCACTTAAGACTTAAGTCTGCTAGCAGGGAATGGTGGCACACACTTTTAATCCCAGTACTTGAGAGGCAGAGGCAGGCAGATCTTTGAGTCTGACGATAGCCTGGTCTACAGAGGGAGTTCCAGGGCAACTAGGGCTACACAGAGAAGCCCTGTTTCAGGGAGAAAAACAAGACCGAATGAAGCCCTTTATTAGGGACAGACACACAACAGATGCAGAGACAGATTCACAAGTCAGTCCTTAGGCAGGCACAGGTCAGACTCATGCAACAGACAGGAGATGGAAGATACAGAGATGAAGAAGTAGGGAATTTAACTCAGTACTCATTCTTGGTCACATGACTCCAAGGGGAAGCTCTTTCATTTCTTTTATTAATGTGATCCTGATACTCCGTTGGTGACTCGGGGTTACTCACTAATGTGCTTAATCCTTGCAAGCAAACCGTTTTCTGGCAACCTCCAACCTGGAGTTAGGGATGGCTGTGAGCCACATGGACCGGAACTCAGGTCCTCTGCCGGCACGAGTGCTCTTAACCACTAAGCCATCACTTCAGACCCTGGTTTGTGTCTTTGAGATGGGTCTCTTCCTATATCTTAGGCTGCTTTGAACTTGAAGTCATCTTTATTCTCAGCTTTCCAAGTGTGTACCGTCATGCCTAGCTAACAGTTCGCCTTTTTAAATAAAAGAATGAAGGCAATCAACGGAGAAAACTTGCTATAGTTTGGACTTAAAATGTTCACCCAGAGGCCCAGGCTTACCCCAACCTGCGGTGCTATTAGTACATTTTGGGACTTTTCAAAGGTGGGAACTGTTGGAGGAAGTTGGATCACTGCAGGCTTGTTGTTTAGAGGATTGTAGAATCCCACCCTTCTTCCTCCTCCTCTTTGTTTCCCTGCCGCCGCGAGGTAAACAGTTTCTTCTCCCAGGCACTGCTACCATGTTGTGCCTCCCTACAGACCCAAACAGCAGGGTCAATCAAGCAAGGGCTAAGGCCTGCAAAACTGCGACCCTAAATAAACACTTCGGTTGTAAAGTTAGTTACCTCAGTATTTGTTACAGTAACAACAGAAAAACCAACCTCAAGTCTTTAGGTTCGTCCTCAGTACAATCACTCCTCTTGATAAGGCAGGCCTGTGACCCAGGTACCAGAAGCCTGAGACAGAAAGATGGCGATTTCAAGACCTGTCTGAACTACACAGTGAGTTCAAAGGTAGCCTGGGCAATTTAGTGTGACATTGTCTTAAGAAATTAAAATAAGAAACAATAATTTCTTTATAATTTTAAAAGAAATTTTTATAAAATTTTATAAAACAACTTATAAGACACTCATAAAATAAGAAATTAAAAAGAGCCGGGCGGTGGTGGCGCACGCCTTTAATCCCAGCACTCGGGAGGCCTCTGCAGGCGGATCTCTGTGAGTTCGAGGCCAGCCTGGTCTACAAGAGCTAGTTCCAGGACAGGCTCCAAAGCTACAGAGAAACCCTGTCTCGAAAAACTAAAAAATATAAAGAAAGAAAGAAATTAAAAAGAGAGCTGGGAATATAGCTCAGTGATTGAAAGTGTCTGAGGTGTGCAAGGAAAAGCAAGCAAATACAGTTAATAGCACACCAGAACTCTCTCTCCCTCCCTCCCTCCCTCCCTCCCTCCCTCCCTCTCTCTCTCTCTCTCTCTCTCTCTCTCTCTCTCTCTCTCTCTCTCTCTCATACACACACACACACACACACACACACACACACCTGGAGAGGTCCTGAATATCAACTAGAGGACACGTAGCATATTTTATAAACAAAGCTACAACCACACTTGCTACTCACCATCAGGAAGCATTGCTTTAAGCATTACCTCTTTAATGGGGGCATGGTGGTTCATGCTTATAATTCCAACAACTTGGGAGTCCAAGGCAGGAGAATCATGAGTTTGAGACCAAGTCCAAAAAGTACCCTGGACCCTGCATACTAAAATACCAACCTGCCTGGCCAGGTGATCCCATTGATGCAATGGTAACATGACTTTTTTGGAGGGGTGGTAACCAACCGTGGTTTCTGATCATATTTAAGGCATGCTCTACAGGGTAGAATGCATTGCTTGGCACCGTAAACCTAGTCAGAAGCCCAAGGACCCCAGAAGACAATAGACCCTCCAGGGAACCTTCTGTTGTTTTACTAAATGGTCACGTTGTCAAACTGCCTTCTATGCTTCTATGTGTGTTTCTACCATAGAGTAGTGTTGTTTTTATCTGTCATCGGAGAAGCTCTTTTCTTGTAGTAATGCAGAGAGTCCTGACTGCTCCATGTGCTGAGAATAAGTGACTGTGTGTGTTCAGCCCTGAATGAGACACCTGTAACACACACTCATCAAAGCTGAAGGAACGAGATGAAGGTGTGTTCATCCCTGAATGAGACACCTGTAACACACGCACACATGCGCACACAAAGCTTAAGGAACAAGATGAAGGTGTGTTCATCCCTAACGAGACACCTGTAACACACGCGCACACACACAAAGCTTAAGGAACAAGATGAAGGTGTGTTCATCCCTAACGAGACACCTGTAACACACACACACACGCACACACACACACAAAGCTTTAGGAACAAGATGAAAGGGGGCGGCAAGAATGTGAGCGCCGGAGACTGTGGAGGAGTATAGGGAAATGTTCCTGCTGGGGGAGGGAGAGCAAGCTTTCTTTGGGGATGTGGCCACGGGTAGGCGGCCCATACATGTGAGCATTGGGGCAGCACTAACTGGACTCAGTGAGTTAAAAAAGAAGAGGGGGAAGATTTGAAATTGGGAGGAGGACATGCGGGGGGAGCCCAGCAGGAGTTTGAGCGGGAATAGGTATGACCAAAATATATTACACAGAGGTATGAAATTCTCAAGGAAAAATATTACATTGAAAAATAAAATTGAACATGTAAGTAAGCATATAAATAAACATACCTTTATTTTATCACAATTTAAAAAGCCAAGTACATGCTTGTAAAAAAATACTAAGGATCTAGGAGTTACTTCCGTGGGTAAGGGTGCTTGCCGGGTAACCCTGAGGACCAGAGTTTGAGTCTCTAGCAACCGCATAAAAAGCCAGACATGGCCATGCCTGCCTATAACGACAAAGGGGCTAACTGAGCAGAGACAGAGGGTTCACTGGGGCTTGCTGGCTGCCAGTCTAGCCAAAAATGGGAAACTCCATGCTCAGCAAGAGACTCTGTCTCAAAGGAAGGAGGTGGAGAGGTGGAGAACAACACCCAGCATCTTCCTCTGGCCCCCACAGGCCCCTGTACATACAACACGCATGCTCAGACATTTCATGCTGTAAGAAATGGGAAAAAGAGCTGGAGCTGAGATATAATACACAAAAATGTTCCTGTTTTGAAAGAAAAAGAACGAGGCTCCTGGGCAGAGTTCACCATCATATGACCTGGGAAGGCGCTTGAACAGTATTAGGCCACAGAGGTTTTTATGCCCAGCAGTGACATGGGGACTCAGTGACTCTTGTAGCTGGAATTGGGGAGACATGACACTCAGCTTTGCAGGGAGGGAGAACTTCCCTCCGGGCACAAAGCCATCAACAAAAACATTTCTAGTTTCCTTCAAGAACTGGGCTTGAAACTGATCAGCCAAATTCTCAGTAGTTGGGAGAAATTAAGCTATGGGTTCCCAAACCTGCTCCATCTCAGGGTAAGCTTTAACACATTTTAATTCTAGATCCAGTCCTGGGGGAAGGACCCATATATATATTCTCTCTCTCTCTCTCTCTCTCTCTCTCTCTCTCTCTCTCTCTCTCAACCTCAGGTGTCCGTCCTCAGGATACCATCCACCTTGCTTTTTGAGACAGGATCTCTCATTGATCCAGAACTCACCAATTCATCTAGGTTGGAAGACTAGAGAGCCCCAGGGATGCGCCCATCTCTGCCTCCCAGAGCTGGGATTACACGCTTGCCCCCACCATACCCTCCTTTCTGCAGTGCGTGCATAGCAAGTACTTCCCCAGCGGAGCCATTTCCCCACTCGTTCATCCTCTCATTCATTCCTTTGCTCTTAAACTCACTCATCTAGTCATACAGTTTGCGCAGGGAGATCCAGGCTCAGTCCCAGCCCCTGTCCCGGCTCCTAATATCTCTACCAAGTCCTGCTGGGTCACTTCCACCTTTGGAACTCCCAGAAACTCTAAGGAGCTCGGGTGCTCAGCGAGCATGTCCTCAGACCCTCTTCTGAACATCATGCAGGGACACTGTATGCCTCCAGCATTAGAAAAGACAAGTAGCAGACTGACCGAGAGTTGCGCCTTTCGCTTTATTAGAATATCGCATAAATCGCAATAAATATTAACTTACTGAATCCTTAAACACATCATAAATAATATGGACATCTTACAGAATTAAATAAAAGCAAACATCTATTTTTCCTGGAGTAAACTAGAGGGAGACTTCTTCAGTGACCCAGAAGCCTGAATCACATAGCAAGCATTTGGTGCTTTCTGCTTGTGTGGGCTCCTAAAGTTGCAGTATACACAAAGCGTTTACTTTGCTTCTAAAGTTCAGTTACACCGAAAAGCAAGGTCCAACATGTGGTTGGCTCTCGTTCTCACTGCACTGAGATGGCCTTTTCCTTCTCCAGTATCTGGCTACTCCGGGCACAGAGGGACGATCCTGACACAATCGGGTTCATACATAAGAACATAAGAAAAGTTAACCTCATAGAAATTGGGAGTAGAAGTGGGGTTTCTGGAGACTGGAGAGACAGCAGGGAGTTGAGGAGACGCTGGTAATGGGCACTACCCTGAAGTTAGACAGGAGCAGGAAGCCCTGGTGTGGTAGTCCCCGCCAAAAGAGCTACAGTCTTTCTCAGATGGCCAGGAGAAAGGATGTTGGAGTGTGTGTGTGGGTGTGATCCTCCTGCTTCTGAATGGATCAGAGTCACCCTTGACTATACACTGAGTCTCCAGAAAGGGGGCGAGGGCTAGGGAATGTAGCTCAGTTGAGCCCAGCCTGAACTACACCAGTTTTTGTTACACATATACGAGAAGAACGTTAAATATTTGGTTATATGCAAATGATCAGTATTTGAGAACATAGATAGGTTTAACTTGACTGCATGATGTAATTATGAGTGGAAACAGTGTGTGGTAACCCTTAATTTTTCAATCTTGTGGCTTTTATGCGTCAGTTTAAAAAAAAAAAAACTAACTGCAAATCAAATCTGAAGCCCCGTCTTCACGGAGCCCTGTCTCAGTCTTCCATCGTCCACTCCGTACTCAGCACACCAAGAAACTCCTGCAGGTAATCCAGGAACTGCCGTGTTCTCCGCCTCTCCTCGCCACACCGCTCCTGGGAAAAGAAGACAGTCATCAGCTCCTGGGGGAGCAGGTGCCGCCAGACCCGCAGGGATCCCGGGAAACTTACTTTCTGGCGGTCAATGTATTTCTTTATTAACGACAAGTTTTGGAATAGCGTTTCCACGGTACCGCCACGGACAGTCTGGTTCTTCAGCATGTCTAGCCCCTGGAAGATTTCGCCAGTGCACAGCTGGTGCTGAAAGAGGAAGGTTATCAAAAGCCAATGGAACAAGGGGAAGCACCAGCCGTATCAGCCAGCCCGCAAAGTACACATAGTTCAAAATATCATGCTATATGCAAGGAATGCGTGCAACTAAAATGCATCAGTGTTAAAAAAAAAAAGAAAGAAAGAAAAGAAAGAGATCATCGGAGACTTAGTGGGGTTTATCTGTAATCCCAGCATTCAGGAGGTGGAGGTAAGAGGATCAAGACCAAGGCTAGCCCCTGAAACTCAGAGTTTGAGGACAGCCAGTGCTGTTGGGTCTGTTTCAAAAAGAAAAATCAAAACCAAAGTTAGGCTTTGATCTGGAGAGATGGCTCAGTGGTTACGGTCGTTGATTGCTCTTGCAGACAACCTGGGTTCAGTTCCCAACACCCTTGTGGTGGCTCATAACCATCTGAGTCCTGGGACTAAAGGTAAGTGGCCCCATACCCAGCCCAGTATTTCTTTTGAATTCCTAGAAAGGCTGGTGATTCCTTTCTATTTAGAATAATGAAATAATGTATTTTACACTAGAATAATATATATATATACACACAAATGTATACAATATCATTACATAGTCATATTCATTTAACCATGTAGAAGTTACTAATAGAGGGATTAATTATACTTTTTATGTCTGCCAATCATTGCCTAAGAATATAGCCCTCTGAGCTGGCGAGGTGGCTCAATGGTTAAGAGCGCTTGATGCTCTTGCTGAGGACGCAGGTTCAGTTCCCAGCACCCACGTGGTGACTCACAACCATCTGTAGTTCCAGTCCCAGGCGATCCGATGCCCGATTAGCTTTCGGGGACACCAGACACACGTGTGGAACACATACATATATGCAGGCAAAATACTCATACACGTAAAATAAAAATAAATAAAAGGAATCTAACCCTAAGGTATATCTTTACGTTATCTCTCAGAAAGATTTTAGAGTGGGCTGGGTCTGGAACTCACTGGTAGAGTGCTTGTCCTGCACACCTGCCCTGGGCTGATCCTCAGTTATGTGAATCAAGAAAAAGAAAATAAAGAAAGGCACTGGGATGAAGAAAAGCATAGGCAGAACCAAGCAGAGCCTAGCAGGACCTCTTGCCAAGTGTGGAATCGGGCAGAGAATCCTTGATGAGAGGCTTAGTTAGCTGACCACATACATAACAGACTCTGCTAGCTCAGAGTCATTCCTGATATTGATTGGTTAATGGCCTTTGGGTGTCTCATAGCCCAGGCTGGCCTCTGGCTTAATATCTGGCTGCGAATGACCTTGAACCTCTGGTCCTCCTGCTCCCATTTTCCAATTGCTGAGATTACAGGCATGCACTACCATGCCTAGTTTATGGGGTGCTGAAGAATGAACCCAAAGCTTGGTGTATATTAGACACTCTATTAATGGAGCTATATCTCCAACCCTTTCGTGTTTGTTTGTTTGTTGTTTTTGGTACAGGTTCTGGTTGTGTAATCCAGGTAGGCTTTGAATTTATATTGCCGAAGCTGGCCTCAGACCCATGCTGCCTTTGCCTCAGCTCTCAAGTGCTGGGATTACATCATTTGCCGTTCTGTCCCTTAGTCTTCATATTTATAAGCATATGCCTCCACATTCACCCACATAACAAATGTCAAAGGAAATCAGACAGTTTTAACTGAAAACAAACCATTAGCTAGGTGTGGTGGCCCAGGCCTGTGTCCCAGCTACTTGTGCTGGGGCAAGAGGATCACTCGAACCCCGGAGCTTGGAAGCTGGTGAGATGCCCACCCAGACACAACACCACAAAGCAAGAAGCAAATGACTTGTAGATTAGTGTGTGGAGTGGACTTATTTATGCAATCATTGCGCTGAAACATAACTTACATTTTTATGAGTAGGAACAGGAAGCCTCACCGTCTGCAATAAAGAGAGTATAAGGTCATTTCTAAAGCATTTGTGGCTGTTTTAATGCTGCGCTTGCTCTGACACTGTAATCCCCTGTGCACTAACACACTCATAATTGCATTATGTATAGCAGATCTTTATGTGTGGGAATGAACTGCCATAAATTATTAATGCTTTTTTTAAAAAAAAAAAAACTATTTTGAGTTAGGGTCTCAGTGTGTAGCTCTGGCTGGCCCAGAACTTGCTGTGTAGACCAAGCTAGCCTTGAAATCACAAAGATCCACCTGCCTCTGCCTCTGAGTGCTGGCATTAAAGGCGGCAACCACCACACCCAGCTATTAAGCATTTTTTAAGACCCCGTAGAGGTGGGAGACAGAGGCAAGAGGATCTCCTAGGAACTGGGACAGCTTGGTCTACACAGCAAGTTTGAGGTCAGTCAGGGCTGCATAGCAAGACCCTATCTTGAAAACCAAACCAAACCGCAGAAATAAAAGTCGTCCTTTACCTCATTGCTTGTTAGGAGAGCTCGGTGCATGGCCAGTTGTATCAAGGTCTCTTTCACCACTGTGCTCATAGGAATCTCCATAGCGATGGTCCAGACACAGGCGAGAGTTAGAACACTCCAGTGCAGAAGCACCCTCATGATTCTGAAGCTTTCGGCGTTGGCCTTTAGCAAAGGAAGAGTGCAGAGCAGGGCTGCATCCCCAAGCAATTTATTCTCTCTTTGAGGAAATGAATAATTTCTAACAATCAGATAGACGATGCCTAATAAAGGCAAGTAGCGGAACTCATTGTTTCCAATCCCTTCCTTGGGTCTTCAGAGAAAAATGCATTTTTTTCTCATACTAGTCAACATCTCTACCCCTACCCCTGTTTAAAAAGCATTTTTTATGACAAAAGAAAATTTCTATGACCTTGATCCACACTGATAGGAATATTGGGAATGTCTCCCTGGGTGTGACGATGCACACCAGTGGGTGTGGGAGGTAAAATCAGGAGGATCAGGAGGTGAGGGGCATCCTTGGCTGCCCAGCAAATGTGAGGTCAGCCTGGAACACATGAGACCCTGTTTCAAGCCACCGAAGAGCAAAGGGACAGGAGGGGATCTTCTCAGTTGAACTAAACTCCACTGGCTGAAGCTGGAATTATCTGTGCTTCAGAACTGGAAATACTCTGGGGAAGACACTGATTAGAGAGTCCGGCGGTGTGAAGTTACACAGTGTAGGTTTTTGATCAACATTCTGTGTGTTCTCGATAACCAAAAGTCTAACTCAACCCGGGGGGAAGATAAGCAGAAGGCTTGTTGGTTCCTATAAGAGACAGTGCAGGGCAGAGGCTCCTTCCTGTGCTGCTCTGGTGGCTCAACCTTGACCCAGTTTTCAAGCCACTCTCTGTGGGGGTCCCAGGGTGACATCAGGACTCCTGGCTCTCTCTCTCTCTCTCTCTCTCTCTCTCTCTCTCTCTCTCTCTCAAGCTTTGCCTTTGCCTTGCCTTGCCTTGCCTTGCCTTGCCTTGCCTTGCCTTGCCTTGCCTTGCCTTGCCTTGCCTTGCCTTGCCTTGCCTTGCCTTGCCTTGCCTTGCCTTGCCTTTCCTTTCCTTTCCTTTCCTTTCCTTTCCTTTCCTTTCCTTTCCCTTCCTTCTCTCTTTCTTTCATGTGTGGTGTGGGTTTATTGTCCACTCCTACAGTGTTTCCTGAGCACTGGAGGTCATGATCTAGATTCCCCCTTTGGGGAATGAGCATCCAATAGTCACCCATTCTCAGGTCCTTGACCAGTTACGGGTCTCTACAATTATAACTGGCCACTTTAAAGGGAAGTGTCCCTGACCAGCCTGACTACGTAGCCCAAACTGTCCATTACTGCCTGCTCCTGTGGCCCTCAGCCTCCCAAGCCCTGTGTCAGGCATACCCCACTGCACCTGCCTCCAGTGGTTCTTTATCTCCTTGTTCAATCAAAACAATTCAGTCTCGGCTGCGCTCCCTGGTTTCAAGGTGCAGAGAAATCAAACTGGAACCGAGTTGAAAACTTTCTCCCAGCTGGCTAGCACTCATAGGACTGGGAAGTATTCTGTTGGCTCCTGAGGGAGAGTTGTATCAACAGTCTTACTGATGGGTCCTGTTTGCACAGGCCAACCGACCAAGTAAGTTGTACCCTCCGGTGTACCAGTGGTAAGTCTGTTACAAGCAACCGGTAGCTTAGTGAGTAGGTTTGAGGCCCCTCCTCAGGAAGGAATGCACAGGAAGCTTGGTCTAAAGCTTCCAGCTGGGTGATAGGTCTGGGCAGGGAAAGTGGTTCTGTTGTTTTGTTAAATGGATATGATATACCTGTCAGGTTGTCTTCTAAGTAACTATGTGTATCCCGTAGATCAGTGCTGCTGTCAGGCTGGTCAGGGACACTTCTCTTTAAGGTGGCCAGTTATAATTGTAGAGACCCATAACTGGTCAAGGCGCTGAGAATGACTATTGGATGCTCATTCCCCAAAGGGGGAATCTAGATCATGACCTCCAGTGCTCAGGAAACACTGCAGGAGTGGACAAGAAGGAATGGACAAAATGTGAGCGTTTGAGGAAGTGGTAGAAGCTGTGTGGAATGCTGATGTCTGGGCATTATGTAGCTGTAGTAATCACCTGCACTAGATTGGGTACATCAACATCCTATCGTGGAGGAGAGAGAGGCTCCTGGGGCCGCACCTGAGGATGTAGATGCTGTTGCAGTTAAAGGTTGATGGGTCATGAAGAGCTGAGTTCTTCCGTGATATCGCCTCTGGCAAGGTGCCTGTGATCCTAAAGAAAGACTATCACCAGAAGGGAACCAGAAGACAGGAAGGAGTGTTGTTTGGAAAGGGGAGAGGATTGGGAACAAGGGAAATGGGGTGGGTTTGGCTGATGCATCATCTAATTGTATAAAAATGTCATAATGGAATCCATTACTGTGTATAACTGATTAATGTCAACAGAAACATGGATTAAAAACAAAGAACAGTTCAGTCTCTAGCAAAACACGGTGCCTAAGGTCTATAACCCTGGCATTTGGGAATTTGAAGCAGGAGGATCAGGATTTCAAGGCCAACCTCAGCTACATAGTGAATTTGAGCCTGCATAGGTTGCATGAGGCTCTGTCTAGAACCCAAAAGCCCAAAACTCAAATAACAATAGCATTCAAACAACCCAACCTCTGTTTGGAAAGAGGAGGAACTAGCAGGAAGAAGGAAGGAGATGAGAAAGGAAGACGTACAGACGATCGAGAACATTATAAACATGTAAGAAAACATCACAACGAAACCCCTCATTTTATACAATTAACATCCAGCAATGAAATAAAGGGAGAAACTTGGAAAGGAGGGTCATATGTTCACCATGGACCTGTGACTAAGCCTGTGGGATACACTGCTTGTCCTTCCTGGGCGAGAAGCAGACATCATCCCATCCAAACCACACAGCTGAGCATCGTGGTAGCTCAGGTCCATTGTAAGAGGTTTGTAGATGCTGGGAAAGAAACAAATATATCACAAACAGGCAACGTGTGGGCACATGGCCTCTCCTGTATGTCCCCCGAGACTGAGCAGTCCTTTCATATCGAGGGTTGGCTGTGCATGAATATGTGTTATCAGGGGAGTCAGTCTTTTGATCCTTAGGCTTAGATCCGTAATCCCACAATCAAACACAAATTCTTTTTTTTTTAAAAAAAAAAAACTTATTTTTTTATTTTGTGTGTACTGGTGTGTTTCTGTGCCTAATCTTGGAATTATAGACAGGTGTGAGCTGCCATGTGGATGCTGGGAATCAAACCCTGGTCCTCTGGAAGAGCAATTGGTGTTCTTCACCAATGAGCCATCTCTCCAGCCAGCCACAAACACAAATTCTTAGGCAGGATCCTTTTTCAAAGTAGCATATAGCCACCTGTGCACTGTGTGTGTGTGTTACATTTTCATGAATATACTGTATGGTACATTTTCATGTATATACTGTATGGTACATTTTCATGTATATACTGTATGGTACATTTTCATGTATATACTGTATGGTACATTTTCATGTATTTGGGCTCCTGGCTAGACGTGTCTGAGATGAACACTTGAGAGACATTTCCCTTGTGTTGTGGGAGAGATACTGGCTCACTTCATCAAACCTGTTAGCAGTGAAGTAGGGACCACAGTGGGCCTAAAATGATGATCTCAAAACCCAAGCTTAGCTCTCTCAGGCCCTGACTTTCCCCCAGAGGTTATGATACAATAATTTTATTTCCCTTCTGACGCCTTCTGACTGCACTGAGAAAGTGTGGGCTTAGATGAAGGCTTCCGGGGAATTGCCAAATAATTTGCAATTGTAGCAACTTCGACAAGCTTCCTGAGTGATTCAACCCCATGATAGAGTTGCACAGGCTGTGGAGGGAGTAGCAGATTGAAAAGTCCACACGCTAGCCATAAAGTAAGCAGGGAAAACACAGCAACAGCTCACTGTTTCTAGGGAAGTTAATATTAGCTGGCTTTGAAAAGGATGACATGGGAAAGGCTGGAAAGGCTCTATTTACAAAATGAAGGTGCTAAGGTCGACATTGAAGTATGACACAGGTCATCTGTCCCCGAGTGGACCCTCAGCTGCAGCTCAGCTATTGCCATATGACTTCCATGGGTTCATGTTTCCAGACACTCAGTTTTAAAAAGAAACTCAAGCTGGGTGGTGGTGGCACACACCTTTAATCCCAGCACTCCGGAGTCAGAGGCAGGCGGATCTCTGAGTTTGAGGCCAGCCTGATCTACAAGAATTAGTTCCAGGAGAGCCAGAGCTGTTACACAGAGAACTCCTGTTCTTGAAAAACCAAAACCAACCAACCAACCAACCAAAAAACCCAAAAACCTAAAACCTCACTTACTATGCATATGCTGATTCCCTACTTAGAAAAAATATTTCCTGTTCAAAACTGTATTTTTTGTTCATTTGCTTGTTTGAGATATCCCAGACTGGTTGTGAGCTTGCTGTGTGTATTCCTTAACTCCTGATCCCCGTCTCTGTCTGCTGAGTGCTTGAACGACAGGTGTGTGCTGCCTTGTGGGCTCAACACGCTATTTCTTTAATTTTTTTTTAAATTGTAAAGAAATACACTGTAACTTGAAATGTTTCATCTTAGCTAGTAAGTATTGGGTCCAGTAGCATCATATGCAAAAACAAAAGCAAAACAAAACAGACTTATCATCTTGCAAAACAGAAGAAACTCTGTATCTGTTGTCAGAAATCCTGCCAACCCCGCCAGTCACCCTTCTGCTTTCTGATTCCCTGGGCTCCACTACAGCCCGATGATACACTGTTGTCTTTTGTGACTTGTCTAGTGCATCTGACTTCAGAGTCCATCCGTGTTCCAGCACGTGTGAGACTTATCTGCCCTGCTAAATAACACTCCGATCCTGTTGCTTGTCCATCTTTCTGCTGATGGATGCTCGAGTTTCTTCCCTCTTTTAAAAAAAAATTATTTCATGTGCATACACCTGTCTGTGTGTGTGTGTGTGTGTGTGTGTGTGTGTGTGTGTGTGTGTCTGAGTATGTGTTGTGCACCACATGTTTGCAGGTTCTCATAGAGCCTGGACGAGGATATCAGCTTCCTTGGAACTGGAATTACAGGAAGTTGTCATCTGCTTGACATGGGTGTTGGGAATTGAACCTGGGTCCTCTTTAAAAACAGCAAATGCTCTTAACCACTGAGCAATCTCTCCAGCCCCGGCCATCTCTCTGGCCCCTCTTCCCTCTCTTGACTGCTGTGTATGTACATGTGTAAAATATTTTTCTTTTCTTTTTCGGATATAAGGTCTTGCGTATGCTACCCTGACTTTTACCTCATTATGTAGCTAAGGATGATCTTGACCTGATTCTCCTGCCTCCATCCTCCAAGTGCTGGGATTACAGGTGGACATCACTGTACCACGTTCCTTCCCACCTCTCACCTCCCCTCTCTTTTCTTTTGAGATGGAGACTCTGGCACAATAGCTCAGACGGGCCTCAAATTCTCTATCTCCCAGCTTTAGCATCTCAATATTGGGAGTACAGATTACAAGTGTGCACCACCCCAGCTCCAAATCACATTTCTCAGAAAGCGATGTTACTAACTTTCCTCTGTGAGTTTAATCTCCTCAGTGTGATTGCAAGCTATCTTAGAGTAGGCAGAGTATTTATTACCATTGCCTGTATGTGTGTCTATGTGTGCGTGTTTGTGTGCGTGTTTGCGTGCATGGAGCTGTGTATACTTGAGCATGCTAAGGTATGGGGGTGGAGATCAGAGTAGAGCTTGTGGGAGGCAATTCTTTCCTTCTACCATGTGTGTTCAGGGAATAAACTCAGGTCATTGGGCTTGGTAGCAAGCACCCTAATAGGTGAGCCATCTCATATGGAGGTCAGAGGATGGCTTTCGGGAGTTGGTTCTCT